CTGCCTCTTCTCATGACTCACATGTGCTAGTGAAACTGAAAATAACATGCCTTAAATGTTCCTGCTTCAGCTAATCTGGCATAATTTTTCCTGGCACCTTTGTTTGTTGAAATCCTTTCTGTCCTTATTTTAACTATTTTCAGGCATTTATCAAGTTCTGTCACTCTTAACTACTTGGTAACATGTCTTAGCCCACTCCATCCTGCATTACACTGTCAGATGCTCAAAGCAAACACCATGTTTCATTTATCTTTGTCTCCCCATCCCCCTACTCCCCGCCGCACCCAGTCCCCTGCACACACCTAGCACACTACTAAGGAAACTTGAAGTAAGGTAAATCAAATCGAAACCTACTCCAGGAATCATGTTCTCAAATTATGGTTATAGATTTTGACAGCTGGAAATTATCTAAGCAAATCATCTCATTTTACAAATGAGAAAACCAGAGGTCAGAGAGGTGAAGTTATTTGCCCAGTCTTTCCCAGCTGCCCTTAGTTTTTTTGTTTACACTGCTCTGGTAACAGCACTTGCAGCCTTGTCATAGGTAGATCTATTTTCATGTCTCCTCTTCTTTCCTGGATGCAAGCATCTCAACCTCGACACGTTGCTCTTTCGGTGATTTTAGTGTGTCATTTTGATACTAGAAATATAGATGGGGAGTAGAGCCAGCTTCAGCAAATTCATAGCTACAGCGCCTGAATGGACACTAGATGGCAGTACGACAGACAGACTCCAATTGAGGTTTCAACAGTGGAACTTAATGTTCAAGCCGGAAGGAACCTTAGACACCATCCAGTCCAACCCCTCATTTTTTTTTTGCAGCAAACAAATAAAAAAACCCCAAGAACAAGAAACAGGAGTGACTTGCACAATAATTGTTGAGTGGCAAGTGAGTCATCAGCTTTATCAGTATAAGAGCATTGACTCTGAGGTTGTGAAGTAAGTTGCTGTATGTATGGGACTCTGATGATGATCTAATGTAAGTACTATTTTGTGTGTCTAGATCAAATGATGCTCTTTGGAAAAGTTTCCCAGCAGTTGTGTGGCATAAAGAAACTCCCATGGTCATGTGATTCCAGATACTTCTGGGGCTGGTTGAATGCAGTGTTTAATAAGTAAGTGACTCTAAATAAAGTGAAGAAATGTGGAGATGGTTATGGCAAAATAAGTTCCCAGTAGCTCGTTTGGCTCTTTCTCGTATTTCAAATATTATTTTAACAATTTGTGCAGTGTTATCCTAATTTTGTTTACAAACAAAACCCACACAAACATGGAAAAAACACCAGAAAAATGGATTACAAAATATTAACTGTGGCTGTTTGGGTTGCAGGATTTCAGTGATTTTTCTTACTTATCTGTCCTTTTGATACATTTCAAGTTTTCTAAAATAAACATTTATTTTATAATCAGAAAAACATTATAATTTTAAAATATTTTATTTTTATGGCTTTTTAAAGGAATGTAGTTAACCTTTTGAATTCTATCAAAGTAACTCAAGTTTTCACAAAATTAGTGGGTGGCACACTTAGAAATAACATTTTGAGCAAGGCACGGTGGCTCACACCTGTAATCCCAGCACTTTGGGAAGCCGAGGCAGGCGGATCACGAGGTCAGGAGATCGAGACCATCCTGGCTAACACCGTGAAACCCTGTATCCACTAAAAATACAAAAAATTAGCCGGGTGTGGTGGTGGGCACCTGTAGTCCCAGCTACTCGGGAGCCTGAGGCAGGAGAGTGACGTGAACCCGGGAGGTGGAGCTTGCAGTGAGCCGAGAGTGCGCCACTGCACTCCAGCCTGGGTGAGAGTATGAGAGTCCATCTAAAAAAAAAAAAGAGAAAAAAATAGCATTTTGAAGCTGATGAAACTAACCTCCTTCTGATTACTTAATACAGCATTATCATCCCTAGCTTGTGAAAAAAGCACATGTAGAAGTTAATAAATATCACTTAATGAGATTAATTTGAATACAGATTCAGAATTATTTTCTCTTTAATCTTTTGTTATTAATACAAATTCTAACCAAGTATAGTCATTCGTAGAATAGTTACTAAATATCTCTGGTATCAAGCACTCTACTATATGTGAATCAATGAAAAGTTGTGTCTGATAAATTCATATAAAAATAATACGCATTGACAGTGTTCACTTGGAAACAAAAACTAAACTAAAAAAGCAGATAGACTACAGGGTTTTTTTTGTTTTTG